TCTTTCCAGTAAAGCCTACCGTAGGTTACGCAAGTATTTGGATTATTGAGCGACTGACTCGCCGCGTTGCCCGGTTTCAATAGGTACTAAGAAGCACTTGAAACCCGCTAAAGATAAATTTTGAAATCTATTATTACTTCGAGTATAAAAATAGCTCATGTTGATTAGTTGTGAACTTGTAAATAGCTGATCATTTTCAAATAATATATTTTTCGGAAGCTACAATAATAGATAAAGCTAGTGAAATAATATTCATACCCGAGTTAATACCTATACTTGATAAACTTTTAGATGAAAAAAAAACTAATTGAAAGGTGCAAGAATTATTTGAAATTTTTAAAAAGAAATAAAAATTATTATTGGCTGCTTCGCATCCAATAACTATATAGTATCTTATTAATTATTTTAGTATCTTCATATGTTATCATTACATCTATTATCTCGATCATGATTAATGTTAATATGGTCTAAGTGCTGAAAAAAGGGCCGAAAATAACAATTTTTTCAAACGAGTTTTTTTTTACATAAATCAATTTAGAATTAAATTAGGATCTTTTTTTCAATTAAGATATAAAAGTAGTTGCATTAATAAAATATTGCAGTATACTTCTTTAAAGTTTGCATTTTCTTATGATTTATTATAAGATTTATAATATAAAAATTTGTTTTTATGCATTAAAACTAGCGAATTTCAAAATTATTATAAAAATTATCATAGTACCATTGTCAATTTATTATTGTTTTACAAAGAGATTGTATTTAGTTGATAATAAGAAAAAATGTCAAGAAGAAGATAATTAGTTTATTTTCTTGGATACGAGAAAACAAGAGGCACCTATAAAGTAAGATTTTTTGGAAATAAGAAAAGATATAAAACTTTCGTCTAGTATAAAGTTTACAAATGCTATATTAGAATCATCGAAATCACAATTCAACAAATTTATTATATACCTTATATTCCTTTTTTCTATAGACATTTTTGATGATGCGAAGACAAATAATGATGCGAAGACAAATAATGATGTGAAGACAAATAATGATGCGAAGACAAATAATGATGTGAAGACAAATAATGATGAAGAGAAGAAAGATATTATTTAAAAAAATATGTAATACATTTTATTAAAATAGTCATAAGAACTAAGCATAAAATTGACCATCAATATAAAATAGAATCTATAGAAATAACTGAAAAACACCAGCGAGGAGGAGGAGGGGGAAGTAGTTAAAGCAAAGAGAAGAACTTAGGCACTTTATGTTTGGATTGTTGGTTAGCGAAGAAGAAATAGTTGTTATTGGTCAGGTTCACCAATCATATCCAAGTTCTGATGTTTAATTTTTTAAATTCCGATTTTTGGGTGAACGAAATTAATTTGTCACGAGATCGGTATCCGAAGTATAGTATTTAGAGTATATGGGAGATATGAATTACGTTATGACATTTGGCTAAGTATGAAGTCATGGGTAAAAAGTATAGCATCCGGAAAATGTGTACCAGGTTGGTGCGCCATAGCTGAATAATATTAGATTTTTCAGAGATCCTTGTCGGAATGATTTTAAATAT